ATTTGAAAAATGATACAGCCTTTGAAAGTTTTCAATGCAAAATCGCAAAACGAAAACAATAGTCCTTCAGGAACAAAGCTCCTTTCGACTGGAAAGAAAAAAAAAAAAAAAAAAAAAACTGAAAGCATTCAGATTTTAAATTACATACAAAGTGGCGTTTTGTTAACATTTTGTGTGTTACCTTTATTTATTAAATATCATGTTCTTATCACTTAAACCATAAAATTCAGCTCAAGAGCATTATTGCAAAATAATTTTAAATTGATCTTTAGAATTTCGGATACACAGTCTCACCTGCTGAAGATAAAAATGTTTTTTCTGTACAACATTGCCATAGCTTGCTTTGAAATCCTTGAGTTGGTTAATCAAAAAATTCATTAAAATTTACAAAATATGAAATCGATAATAAAACAAATTCCAAATTTCAAATTTGGGCTTCCAGATCCCGTATTTGCCATAGGATTACGTCATTCAAAATTGGATGGCTCTAGGTACCGTTGTTTTATCACGATGCGAGAAACATGTATACATTTATACAGATTTTTCATTTAATTTCTTTAAATATAATAAAGGGCGGTAACATTTGGCGGCAACAATTTGAAAAGTGATACAGACTTCTAAAGTTTTCAATGCAAAATCGCAAAACGAAAACAACAGTTCCTCAGGGACAAAGCCACTTTGGACTAAAAACCTGAAAGCTTTCAGATTTTAAATTACGTCCAAAGGGGCATTTTGTTAACATTTTTTGTCTTACCTTTATTTATTAAATATCATGTTCTTCGCACTTAAACCATAAAATTCAGTTCAAGAGCAATATCGGAAAATAATTTTAAAATAAGCATATCTTTAGAATTTCCAATACACAATCTCGCACTCTGGAGATAATTTTTTTTTTTTTTTTTTTTTTTCTGTACAACGTTGCCATTGCTCGTTTTCAAACACATTAGTTTGTTAATCAAAAATTCGTTAAAGTTTTACAAAATATGAAATCGATAATAAAACAAATTTCAAATTTGGGCTTCCAGATGACATAACCCTGTAATATAAATTTCAGAATTCTCTTTAACTCCAGCATCAGAAAATTGTGTGGCACAACTAACTACACAGATATTTAAATGCGGTTCAAATTATCTTTTTTTTTTTTTTAAATTATAGATTTGAATGACGGAATTATCAAATAAAAGGCACAAGTTCTCCATCATGATTGTTGCTAACCAATTTGCGTAAAATGACATTTGTCTATAAACTTTTGAGGCACACATTTTTTCTATTTTTATTTTTTCTAAAAGACAAATTGATTTTTATTAAATATTTACTCAGATGCAAGGCACATGTATTTTAAATAAACATTTTAATTGGGTAATTTTATAAATTTTAAGACTTTTAGGACACAGTGTATTATGTTCATGCACTCTAACATTGTTTTGATAGTCTAAGGGTGTAAATGTCAGTGTGACTGCATCTGTATGTCAGATTTAGATAATGATAAAATCCTTTCTCAAAATAATTTTACAATGAACAAAAGACTGGCGTATATGAAAATTAGGTACTTTTCTGTTATGTACATGGCCACCTTTTTTGGCTCCTTGAAAGTGAAGCCAAACACATGCCAAAAAGCCAAGTTCTCCTCCATCATGATTGGAGGGTTTCCAGGTGACATAATATTATCAGGGAACTATATGCATGTCTGTGTAAACAAGAATAATTAAACACATTACAATAGTACCATCAAAATGTGTGGCAGGTGCATAATAGAAAAGCACCAAAAATTATTGTAATAATAAAAGTCTGGGCATGTCAAATGCTGAAATCTTTAAATGCTTAGAAATAAATATGCACAGCAAGAAGAATCTTGAATGGGCAGATCTTATCTGATAATGTGTATTTTTTGCAAAATATGATTTATCATCTGGTTTGCGATTACCTTATGTCTCGTAAAGTTTACTTAAGATACAAGAATAATTTGATCAAAATGTTTATGGAAGAATTATGTATGGCACAAATATGCTTATTTAATAAGACTGAATTTTTGTCTAAGGTAATATCAAATGCTTAAGCAAAGAAGGACTTAATAAATTATTTTCTTCGAAAATAAAAGAAAGATAAAAACCACTCATTTAGTAAAACATTCATTCAAATTTATTTTAATATGTAAAAAATTACACAAGAGGTTCATCACTTCCCTTTATATAAAGCAACAAGAGCTGCATTTTCTAGAGATACAGATTTATCCACATAATTAATTATCTGTACATCGTACCCTTGTTTTTGTAAAAAATTAACACGCCCTGCATCTATAAGTCTTTTGCTCTGCAAACCAATTTTTTCTCGCTCTTCATGCGTCAAATTTAATTTGATATACCTAAAATTAAATTTAAAAAATGCATCACATTATTTGCATCTAATATTAAAATAATGCAAAACCATTAAAATTTTACAAAAATTTTTAAATATTCCACTTAGAATCTGATGAGCAACAATTTTAAAAAACTGCACTCTGGAGGGTAAAATTTGAGAATTTATATATATATATATATATATAAAAGATGATACAGTCAAAAGTCGTTAATCCAGACACGTCGGGACTTCGGCGATTCCGGATTATCGATTTTTCCGGATTATAGACCATCAGTTTAAATCTCGTAAGATGGCATGCAGAAATTCTAAAATTAAAAATATGAAACCGTAATTTATGAAATAAAGAACAATTATGATCTAAAGGGTATCAAAATTTACAAAAAAAAAAAAAAAAAAAAAAAAAAAAAAAAAAAAAAGAGCTTAATATTTATTTGTTTACTTTATTAAACATTTCTTTCAATGTAAGTTGTTTAAGTTGCTTCATTTTATGTGATAATACTTTCTCTTTAATTCTATAAACAGACATAATTTCTTGTTCAGTTACAAAGTCCCGCTGTTCAAGTCCCGTTAATTGCTGTGCCGAGAATACCGACTAACTTGTCAATCGAAATTTTTTCGTTTTCACTAACCTCTCTGTCACATTCTTCATGTCTTTATCCACTTTTTGCAGCAATTCCACTTTTTGTTTGTTGGACATCGAAACATACTTTCGTTTTGTAGATCCTTTGGAAGTTCCAGCATCGGAAATTCTATTTGACATAATCGAAAGTTCAAGTTTACTTTTATAAAATTGCTCTTACAGTCTGCAAAAAATAATAAGCGGGATCCAATTCGAAGATTAAGGAACAACGCAATCATTAACATTAACTGAAATAGATAATTAGATAATTATAGCTTACACCGTCCGTTATACATTAAACGCGCAGGCGAAAACGTATTCTGCACTTGCGCACACGCATATGCGCAGTAGTCAAGGTCTTACGCGCACGCGTAAAACGCCTGTGCGCATTTGCCAACGCGGCGCATGCGCAGAAAGTTTTTAGCTTTGAGGTCCGGATTATGGGTTTCCGAATTAACGACTTTTGACTGTATAGCATTTACCATATCATTGGCAGTATTCCCAGACTGATGTATTGCCCCCAATTACTTATCAGCAATACTTTAAGCAATAATTTAAGTCTTAAAGTATTGCTGATAAGTGTTAAATTATTATCACTAATAACTTTACAGGCTGTTCCCCCCAATTATATCTGTTACCCATAGTCTTCAAATTTTGTTGAAATGAGAAATCTATAAAATCATGTTTTATTTAATTATTTTTATAGAACTTTTACCACCTCAGAAAAATAAATATCAAATCATTGAAAATATATCATTGTTTGGTAATATTTAAGCAGAAAATGAAAGAAAATCAGGAATTTGTTATAATTTTTTATTGAACAATTTAAACAAAAAATTCATAAATTTAGTAATTAATTTATCAAATACAACTTAAATACTACTACTGAATAATGTATTGTTGATTTACCTACTGTACAATTATTTCTGAAAGTACAGAAATACGAACCAAACAGTACAATCTCTAATTATAACAAAAAGAACATGCTGAAGATCAAATGTAAAAGATACTACAGCATTAAGAATCAACATAAGATTTCATATATTATGGTTTTGCTGGTTAAATATAACCTTCTTCTTTAATCTACAATCCCTAATCTTGTAGTTTTTCTCTTACTGCACACAATGCATATATTATTAAAAAGAACTCCATTAAAATTGATTGCATCAGAGAAAAGCAGCATGTACTAGAGTTTTATTCAATCCTTATTATTTTTTTTCCTAGGCCACAATCTACTACAAACTATGAAATGCAACTGATAAATGATTTTTACTTTGTATTTAGCTTGAAGCTATCAGCTGAAGATGGTAACTATGATACATTATCAAAATGCCAGGAAATGATTCAGCCAGCTGAAGTTCTTGCAATCCCCCCCCTGATAGAAACTTTATACATAAGGTAGAGATTCACCCAAATGCATTCCATTAAGAACACAGGTAATTAGAAGTCAATTAGCTGGCACTCAGAACTAGACAGCCTTCTCAACAAAATATTAATTATCTTTATATTTTATAATTAATGGACACTAGAAATGTACACAGGCTGATGAATGATTCTTCTATGTTATCCCCCAAGGCTGCCTTATTTAGGTCTGACTGAGCAGGATTTCCTGATGTTTGATTTATATCTGATTGATTCGATTGGCATATTCTTTCAGATTTTGATTTCAGCTAATGGAGTCATGCAATTCCAGAGTTTCATGGAATACAGTTTAAAGATCCCACTGGCTTACATTATTGAAAATATGCTTAAAAACATTTTGGCATCAACTACTGATGTAAAATGTGCACTGATGTTTCTTATAATATTGATAATACTGATAAATTAAGTAATCAAAGAAATGCCATTTATCTGTTATCCTAGCTCTAGGTCTTTAATTATTGGCAAACTGAAGTTATTTTAATTTTGATAGACACTGAACTGAGATTTAAATAGGTCAACTGTCTATCGGTCACATTAATAATATAACAATGAACTCACCTATTTAAAAGTTTATCATCTTGTAAATTTTCACAATGATCTTGATTAGGAGGATTCTCACTTTATCTAAATAAAACATATATATTTAAAAAAAAAAAAATTTTTGTTTTTTTTTTTAAATGCAAGTTCTGGCATGAATTTAAATCAAACTGTTTTTAGAATGATACACATAGCAGGGTGTACTAAGTATAACATTTAATTTTATTTCTGAAAATATGGTTATCTTTTCTTTCACTAAAAAAATATTTTCTTATTTATCACATATAAAAATAAAATTTTAAAACATTCTCTATACATAAAAGTATTAATAGAGAAGAAGCTTTACTCAACTTGCTTACTTATTACTTAGATTTAATTAAGTACAATTTTAAATAAGTTTTTCAAATATGAAATATATAATGCTATCAGAAATTAAAAGTCAGTTTATAATTATCACATTTTTAAAAACTCTAACAATTCTTGGCAAGAGACAATACCTGTTTTTCTCAGGCCACAAGTACCCCAGCTTGCTATACAGCACATAATTTGGAAATCTCTTTCAGAAATACCATGCTCTTTCTTAAACTCTTTACCTATATATGTGCTCCATGTACATCTGTTGGTGACAACATAAGGCCATCACCATTCCCAGTGCCCTGAAACATGAAATGAGAAAAAATCAATGTTCAGAAATAATTTCATATTAATGGAATAATCATAAATACAATTTAAAGAAGTAATTTCTTTTCTTGTATTTTTTATTATGTATTTTATTTTATTAATATTTAGTTTTTATTTGTATTAATAATTTTTTTTTTTATCTTTAATCTTCAGAGCATTTTAATGTCTCAGACACAATTATGCAAAATATCAGCCAGTTCATTTCTTTTATTCAATCAACACAAAATTAAAAGAAAATTAAGAAGTAGTTCTATTTCTGAGCTTTATATCGGTTTCTTTTTTCTCCCTAAATAACAGTATTCTATCTTTTCTTATCTTATATCTATTGATAAGTTTAATTAAAATACAAGTAAAATCATAGCTAACTATATATTAGTTTGAATACATAATTTTATAAAAAATTATCATTAAAAATGATAACTTTTGCTAAGTTTAACAAAATGATCATGAAGTATAAAAGTAAACTGATATCTTTAACACTGAACCAATTTCCATTAACCAATAAAACAGAAGCCAATCAATCCATCTAGCACTAAATTACAGTTTTGAGTGAGAGGAATACATTGTTTAATTTCCATTAAGAGATACTTCAGAGAATTATTTTTATGCGACAGTTTGAAAATCCTTGAGCATTACTAGGTTTATTACGTAGTAGACCAGTGCATGCATTTTTAGACTGCACTCCTCGATAACAGAAAAATCTTCGATCCTGTAAATATCTGCTAACAGGGGATTTGACTGCTCATAAATGTATTACAACTCATTCTTTTCTTTTTGCTCTTTTAAAATTCTATTTACTTCTCTAAGAAATAGTTTAATGTAAAAATATTTCATCAAGCAAAAAACATACAAAACAAAAAAGTTTATAAAGTTTGACTTGTTTCAGTAGCATAAACTAGAATCAAACTCCTAACAAATGTTTAGCAAATTTTCGCTGTGTCTGAACAAAGCTACAGAATCTTGATAAGATTTAATAAACTTTTTAAATCAGAACTGTGAAAATAAATGTATGTCTCATGCTTAACGGGATCAGCCAACCATTTGTAGAGATGCAACATACAGTAATAGTAAATTCAAATTTCAGATTAAAATTAAGTCTAGTAGACAAAGGCTGCACAACTGCTTTAATGCAAAGTTGGCTCAAACGTCTCACTGGTGTAACAATTTAAATGTCGACACTATAAAGTAAAGCCGAATAATACAATTTCATCTGAGCTAGTGAAACCTAGTAATGTGGCCTCAAGAAGCAGAAACACACTCTGTCCTAGAATCTAACAATCTCAGTTTAAATACTCAGTTAGATTTGCATTCTGGCATGGAAATAGAAGACAGAAGTGACAGTAAAGGTCCAAAACATAAAATAGCTGAATTAATGAAAAATAACAGTAACCTTACAAGTTACTTCTATAAAGAGAAATTCATAATTATGAATTTTGAGAAATAAAACATTTAAACTATGTAATATTTACATTAGTATAAAATAGAAAACTTTAATAAAATTTTGCAAGTTGATGTCACCTATATATTATGAAAATGAACTTTAACCATGCAGACTGAAATAAAATAAATAAATAAATAAAAAAACCCCACCATTTTTTATCATTCAAGATTCCCCCCCATTAGATTTCATTTATCGATTCATTCGTATTAAAAAGTTTTTATCAATAACGTACAGAAGATATCTGCCATCAGTAAAGCAATTTATTCAAAGTTTCAATCACATAAAAAAATTTTAATTTGTATGTAGGATAATTTGGGATTTTTAAAGAAATTCACAGCAAGTAATCAGAAAAACGTACTACATTTTCTCAAGAATTACAGTTCAGCACAGTCATTCATATTTAAAGCTGGCAATATTAAAATAATGCCACATCTTAATTCAGCTCAATATTAAATTCTTTTTTTCAGATTTAATAAAAAATACATTTTGCTAACAGAATTTATTGATCTACAGTTATAAATGTAATTGTTCATTATAATTTTAAGTTAACACTTTTACTGTAAATAAGTATGTGTGACATTAAAAAAAATATATAGCATATTATTATTATTATTATTATTATTATTATTATTTTCATATTCTGAGTTCTAAAAATGCAAATTAGAAGGCTCTACAATCTTACACACCTAATTGAAACAGAAACTTTTATTTGAAAAATAATTTACACATCTGATTTCAATGAAAGTTTAATTTTAATATTCATGAGTTTCCTAATAAAGATGCTCATTCATGACTTAAAAAAAGACTATAATTTTCAACCATATTTATTTTACTGTGTATGAAAGAATATTAGTAATAGAAGGCAGAAGATTAAGGGGTAAAGTAGCATTAAGTTTTGCTAAAACTTTCTTTAATGTTGATTGTCATATCTTTTTTTGGCAATCATTAAAGAGTATCAAGCATGCTGAAAATGCAATCTATAATTTAATCAGTATTATGACAGAAAAATATTCTCAGGTTATTTTTAATAGAATAATAACTTTTTTGTAACAATAACTGTATACCTTTTTGTACATTAACAGAGAAACTGAAAGTGGTACAGATATAAAAAATAAATTTAATATTCTAAAAATCTCCCATTTTGAATTTCTGCTTGTCAAACTTTTCACCAAAAGTAGAATTTTTTAACTGATAATTAATATGGAAAACACTTGTTGAAATTCCATTACAGCTAACATAAATTACACTATATTCGATAAAATTCTTGCTCTTATATGAATGAAGCAAGACAACTTTCTACAAGCCACAAGTTGTTCTTTACTTCCATAGCGAAAAAATACTGCATATGCCATGCCAGCTTTCTTGCATATATATCATTTAATGTAAATTTATGTTAATGATACACACTTCACAGTCCATGTTATCAAATTGTTTGGTATGTCCCATACTTTACCAAAAATGTGTATTTGAATAACTATAAAAATCATTAAATACTTGTCATCTTAAACATATTAAAGTATCATGAATTTTCACATAATATTAAGAACAGTAATGAAGAAATAAGATGTTAAAAAAATCTTAGACATAAAAAAACTCATAAATGTGTAAGGTTATCAAGTATGATGAAGTTAACCCTAACTAAGAACTCTTAATAATAAATTCAAATATCAACATCATCCTATATGCCAGTTGTTTCAAACCACATGTGGGCTGAACACAACTTCAAAGTGGCTGATGGGGCATGCTTTTTTAAACCAAATAAAAGTAAACTTTTTTTTTTTTTTTTTCAAATTTCACTTACCAAATATTTATCAAAACACATAAATAACTGAAATAATAATGCAAGGGAAAAAATTCAAATTTAGAGCATTTAAATTTAGAGTATTTTGTAGGCTATACATTGTAATTTAAATGTCGTACAAACTGCTAAATATCAAATTTACAGACTGACATTCATTTCAAATAATTTTAATATGTTGAACTAACCACTAAATAACCCAATATAAAAACAAACAAATAAAGAGAACTATCCAAATTTTCAGAGAAAAGTTTATGAGAGGGATTACACTCGAGAATAAATAACAACAACATACTCTCAGTCCATATCTCTAAGTCTATAATGTTATTTATATTTTCAAGATTTATACCGATTCATGATGAATGCCCTTTTTTTAGTAGTTTCTTTTATGTACCAGTGAGAAAGTTGCTATATGTTATGTACTTTTGGCTGTGTGCCAATGCTATCTTTGAACTTAGTTGGAATGTAATGACTGCTAATGTTTTGCTAGTCTCCTAATAAACAATGTATTGCAATTCACATGCGCTGAATGTATGATATATCTAAATCACACAGAACAGGATAACTGAAGTATATTCACAAGCTGCATAAAATTGCTTTGGAAGATACATCTGGCCAACAGGTTACAGTTTGAGACTACTGCTATAAGCTATTCAAGATCATATCTTAAACAAAGAAATTGCAATTTCATTTCTTGGTCCAAATGTTTGAAAAAGAAATACTTGCTTGTGTTTCAACTTTTCTTCATTTTGCTCAACTTCTAAAGTATCCATCAAGCATTTCAGAGCTAAATCTATTAAAAAAAATTAAGAGAGTTCATTTTGTTACAATAAACATTTTAAATAATAAAAAGCTTATGTATATGAGAATGCTTGCACATCCAGCTTATAGTTATTATAAAAAAAATGTGATGATTTTAATCAGCCAAGCTAGCGTAATTTCACAGGTCTAGCTAGTAATTGATAATCATGCAGATAAAGAACTGCAATTAGAGCCTTTAAATACTTTAGCTTGTTAATCAATAACAGACAGATTAAGGTTGAAAAAAAATTAAATATCTTACATTTTTCCTGAATGGCAACACATAGGCAAATGGATGATAAAAATATTTTATTCAGGCTGTCATGACGCATTTCTTTTAAACTGCTGAGTTTTGAGATTAAATCTGAAACATAAATATCTTACACTTTGTTGACTGGTAACAGATTTATTTTAGTGATAACAGATTTTGTACACATTTTCAATGGATTCTTACACAAAATCATATTAATTAAATTTCTTTCAAATACTTAAATAAGAAAGATGTTTAGGGGCATTAGTTAAAATTCTATACATTAATCCTTTGGTGGTTATGAGATTAAGCAATATTCCTTCCAAATATGTGTGATATCTGCCTGTTGTAGATTTTGAACTGGGCTTGCTGATGACCATAAAAAGGTTAAAATTCCGTTAGGAAACACTAAAGCTTAAACAACTGCTTTAATTTTTATACCTAGTCAACCATTTAAATGCAAGTTAATTTGCCACATATATTATTTAATTTGTCAGTAATTTGCCACATAATTAATAATTTGTAGTTAATTTGCCACATAGGTTAAAATTGTTTATGAAGTTGTTCTGCCTCAAAGCATACATAAATACAATGCTCAAACAAATAAACAAATTCAATTTTAGTGCAAATTTAGCTATCTGCTACATAAAAGATTTTTACAGTTAAAACTATACAATACTAGCAATCCAATAACTAGGATTAAGAGATTAGTATAATAAGGTGTTCACTTTGAATGCAGACAACACATTTACACAATTTCCTAAAGTATTGCCTCTAAAGAATGTCCCATAAATACCATATTTATTCATATTCCCTCTCCCCTAGCATTTTAGCACAAAACTGTGAAAAGTGTTTTAATTTTGAGATATTTTCCCCCTTTTTCAAGGCATTTAGAAAGCAGGCTCTCTAAACTTTAAAATGGATTCATTCACATAGTGGTTGTTTTTGTCTTACTATATGATTTACTCGTGGATTTCTGGTACATGGATTCTGATCAAGAAAGCAGTTATAGTGAATAGCTTTAAGAAAATGGGGATATGTAATGCTCTTGATGGTTTTGATGATTATTGCACATGAGAAGACAGAACAATTAGCGATAAAGATGATGACAATGGTCAAGATAGCAACGACTTGCAAGCTGTTGCAAACAACACAGACAGCAAGCAGTTCCAGCAGTACTGAATGATTTGAGTCCTAGGAAGTACAATAAGAGCAGTCAAGATTACAGGGAAGTAGAAATGAATACATCTTATTAGATTCTGTAATGTTAATATTACTATATATTGTTATTGGAATGTAGGTTCCTTTTAAATAAATAATATTTCGATAGTTACTAGTATTTTACTGGATCATCAAGACAAGAGTGCTTTGATGAACTTAAATCTTTATACATTGGTAAAGCACCATCCTACAGCACTGTAAAACTGTTCGATATAATGAATTCAATTATGGTCGACGTTCGCTCCAGGATGAATTCAGTGAAGATCGTCCAAAATCGAATGTTGTGCCAGAAAATATCAATGCAGTACATGAACTGATAAAGCAAGATCATCATGTGACATACCGTGAGATTGAGGCATCTTTGGGTATTAGTATGACAAGCATCAATAAAATATTATATGAACATTTGGCCGTAAAAAAAAATTTGTTCGCGTTGGATCCCATATAATCTTATAAAAACTCAAAAGGCGGCTCAATGTTGAATGGTACAAGGAAATATTGTAAAAATACATTCAAGATGCATCAAAGGCTGCGTATAACACTACACGGGTGACAAATCATGGATATGTGCATATGAGCCCAAAACAAAACAGCAGTCAACTGTATGGGGTCAAATCCAACAAGAGTTGTTCGCGGAAGAAGCACATGGAAGCAAATGGTTCTTTGTTTCTTCGGCATTACAGGTCATGTAATTACAATAACATTAAAGCTACACAGGATGCTCGATTCCGAATGGTACACAACCATTTGTTTGCCAGAAGTCATCAGAGAAATTCAAAAGAAGAAGAAGAGGCGAATCATTCTTCATCATGACAATGAGAGCTCTCACACATTGGCTCAAACAAAGGAATTTGTGACGGACCAAAACATCGAATTGATGGGTCATCCACCACATTGTCTTGATTTATCACCCAATGAGTTTTTTATTTCCGCACATAAAAAATAAATTACATGGTCAGCGATTTGTGACACCCAAAGAAGCGGTTGATACATTCCAAATGCATGTTTTGGAATTACCTCAATCGGAGTGGAAAAGTGCTTCGAAAGTTGGTTCAAATGCATGCAAAAGTGTATTGATCTTCATAGAGAATATTTTGAAAGACAATAAAAAACAATTTCAATCATAAACATTTTAATTTTCCTTATTAGACATGAAATATAAACAGCAACCCTCATATATCTGAGGACAAATCAAAATTTACTGCCAAAGAGATATCACAAAACCACCATGGAACTCAGCATATATTATGAGAGCTTAGAAAACAGGAGTAAAATTTTAGCTGCATTTTGGTAGTTAGCACCATTCACAGTCATGAAATTAATTTTGGTTATTGGAGAAGATAAACAACATGAATCAGCGTAGCGTTTGTAAATTCTTGATTCTTGTTGTTTAACTTCTCCAAAAATCGTTATTTGGCATGTTATTTTAACCTAAATTAATTTTGGTTGTTTATCCATAAAGATGTTACTAACTAAACCTTCTTGATCATTTTGCTTTTTTTTTTTTTTTTTTTTTGTGGATTTTATCACTTGATCTGCTAATCGGTTCATTTGAAAGAAACAAAGTAGCTGGCAGTTAGACTTAGCAAAGATTATTCAATAAAAGTGAAGTTAATATTGTTATGCACAGGTTATTACCAAGACATACAGACATGCCTTTATGAAAGATTTTACATTTATTTCCACTTCCTTCCTCCAAAAATAAAGCAAATAAACAAATAAAAAGAAATACATAAAAAGTATATCGCCAGACAGAAAACAGTTCGCCAGGACTCTGAAAGACAAATGATACTCAATTTAATACTTAATTTCTTGTTCAAGAATATCACTAAACTTGTGGAAAGATTTATCAAAATGGGACACGTTTTTAATACATTAGGACATTCTTTTATTAATTATTCATATCATCCACAGTGGTGCTAGAAACATTCTTCCATAGTAAATGCATATGCAAGGATGATTTCATGAATTTTTTATGTAAATATGATTACAAATACCTTGATATTGAATTATCAGGTACTGGCCCTGTAAAACCCACGATTAACCAACAAATGCTTTGCATTTACCAAATTTACAGCTTTATGAGTTTTGCAATTTTTTTTTTTAAATCTTTAATCATTAAACATTTTTTTTCTTTCAGGGCATGAGTCAATTGGTAAAATGATCTGCTCAGTTAATTTAAAATGGTATAGCAGCGTAATTAAGTAACTTCATAGGCTACACCTACAACACTGTCTGCATATAGCTTCAGTCAAGAAGTGTCTGTATCTCTATATAGCAAGTGTATATCTCTATACATCAATTGATTAATGAAAAAAATTCCGGAACATTTTACAGATGTTGAAATCATTCACTTCCAAAATTACAATGCTGAGTTTGAAATAAGGATAAATTGTTGGAATTTTTTTCCCACAGAAACTACGTATCAATCCTTTTTAATTTAACTACCATGAGTTATCAATCACTTGTCATTGCTTAATCAACAAATCTTATTTATTACTATAAATTAAATGTTAAAAATAGCTATACTTCAAATGCATAAAAAAATGTTATGCTCTTCATATAATCTTCCTGTAAATTTTCAGAAACAAGATTTTGTAATTTTCATTTAAATTCTTCTTGTTACTTAATACATGAGGTAGTGAAAATTCACTGAAGATGAAAGCTATGGAAAACATACCTGTTGCTGCTCCACACAGGTGTTTGCTCACACCAACAACTTTATTTAACTTTTCTGCAATGCTCTCAATTTTACCTGTTAAGACATGAAATTATTGTTAATTTTCATATTTTAGTTGTCTTCAGTAAGTTGTCCAAAATGTAAATCTGAATAATCTGAAATATATATTCCAATTAATTCTAAAAAATTATTTTATATTTGCTATATAAATAAAAATATAAAAAAAAATTAATAATCAAATGTGTGTTCAATTTTTTGACATCCAGAAATGCAGTTATAATTATTATATTAATAAGAAATACATTCATTTAATTTTCTGTTTGAGGAAGATAATACTTCAGTAAGAATAACAGAAGCTGCAAACGAGCAGAATCCTGATTAATCAGTCCAAACTGAAATGTAGATTGGATAAAGAAATAGCTGTTTAACAAAATAGCATTGATACACAGCAATCAAAATAATATATATATAATATATATATATCGGTAATATATTGTTAAAAATTGCTTAACATTTATCTAGCTAAAATCTGTGACTTTTATTTGGAACTTATTGATCTGGAAGGGGAAGAAAAGATTATGAATCAGAAAGCACAGACAACAATCAGACAGAAGCACAAGTTTGAAAGCTTTTGAAATTGACTAGCAGTGTTCTCAATTAAACTTACTTTCGGTGCAAAGTAATATGTTCTGACTGCAATGCACTGCATTTTTTCCAAGAAGTGGCAACAGAAATTAAATTTATGGTAAAAAGTCTTGACAAAAATACAGCTGTTTAAAGCAAGACTACATAAGAAGCAGTCTAATATTATCTTAAAATAGCTAAGAATTACGAATGCTAGTTTTAAAGTCTAATTCAGTGCATTAAAAAGAAATAAAATTTTATTTAGATATAACTTTTCCATTAGCAAATTCACAAGAAAATAAACCTCCTCCCCTTTATTTTCAATTTAAAAACTTTTATTAAAGTAAAAAAATATTATTGTGGATATTATCAAAGCATGGACAATATTAATTCACAGTGTAGGAGGTTTAGACTGGAATATCAACATCCTTTCTGTATACACAAATATTAAAATTATCAAGGTTGGCAGAATTACAAGAAATAGTTGGATTATGAATGATGAGACAATAAGAGGAATTACTATTTATTTGGTGGTGTATATAGCCTGCACACAGTTATGAGCAAAATATCTAAAATTTTAACAATATTTTGAAATGGCCATACTGCTTATGAAAAAAGAATGAAATTTACTTGAAGCTATATAGTGTCATCTATAAACAGGAAATAGTAATCAGTTTGATGATGATGTTATAAATGTAAGGATCAAATTTATTTTACAATAATTCCTGGCAAGACTGAAAGCTTATTTAAAAAGTACATAAGGAAACAAAATTTTCTTGCATTTTGCAACACAAGAAATATGGGCACAAAATGTTAAACACCATATAGTTAAACACTAAAACACAATAAATGATATTTGCTAAACATGTAATAAAACTAAAAGTATAAAATACAACAATTTTTTAATCTTATTTTCATAAATACATTAATACTTTCATATATATTATAACTACTAAATTCTACTGACAGGTTATTTTTTTAATACTGACACAAATATTCTTAATTTTTTTTTAATTATGATAAATAAAAGTTCTACCTATGTGCAGATGTTGAATATCAATCCTTATCCTTTGAATCAGAAGATCACATCCTTTAAATTTGTTGTCACTCTACAAAAAATGAGAAAAAACTTAAAATATCAAGTAACAGTCATTACAAAGTCTGGTAACTGTCATTGCAAAATCTGCTTTTTTAATAAAATGGTTACTAGTGATTTATTATCAAAAAGCATTTGAAGGCTGTCTGTCTTAAAATGGATTATTTTTAAAGTACACTTTAAAAGGAACTAGTTTGTATTCATATTATACACAGAAAAAAATCTCCAAAACTCATACAGCCAGACAATTTACCTATCAGAAATTGAATGCCCGTTAAAGTAACATTATTTCATAGCCATATCTATATATATTCAGCTATAAACAGACCCAAAAATCTGCATAACAAACAACCAAAATACTGCATAAATAATTTAATGAATTTAAAAAAAATCTAGAAACAAATTTAGGCTTCTGAGTCAGTATGAAGTACTCAGATTTCATAAGAGGAATTACTATCAGGTATCAATAAATTCTTATATAGCAAGAAATTAACACAACAATCAGTTGAAAAAAGGTGTATTATTAGACACTAACTAATACTGAACAGATATTTATAATGATAACAAGCATTACTGATGGAAATTTTCAATTTCAGGACTGATTTGTGTTATGTAATTATGGCTAGCACACAATTGCTACCTGTCTAAACTCTATCCCAATTTTGATTCAAATAAATTTGCCTGACAGACTACTTATACTTCTCTTTTTCTACAAACAACCTCAAAAAGACTTTTAGATCAGTAAATTTCAAGTGCTTCCATACCAAACAGATATTACAGTCATAAATATCCAAGCTGAATTGCTTATTTAAGTGTAAGCAAAACAGTCCACGAATTGACCAACCTTTTTCAATCACCATATTGTTTCTCTCTTTAATTTCTTAAATTAGAATTAGTAGTTCACAAAGAGAGGGAAAAAATTAAACATTTATAAGGATCACTCTGAAATTTTTGAAAAGTTATACTTATGAAATTTTAGGAGTGTTCAAAGTAGTCTCCTCTAGTATCAATGCACTTCTGTAGGTAAATTTTCCGAAGAGGAAATGCCTTAAGCCATTCATTTCTTGGAATCAATCTCCTCATCAATCTCCTCTTTGGAGCTGAATCCAACAAATTTTTGCACCTTGATAATGTACCATCCCATAATTCCACTCTCCTGAAGTAGTTTTTAGAAAAGACAAGTGTTACAATTTTAAATTATCTCCTTTTTTCACTAGATTTGGCACTTACAGACTAATTTCTCTTCCTTCGTTCAGCAGATTTAGTATCTGCAGGCTACTTTTTTTCAGTGAAATTTTCCCTTAAGATATTATTTTAAAAGCACTGAAGAGATTCAGAAAACCATGAAACAGATTTTCAAGTAATCAAAGAACTATCTGAACATGACTTATATAGACTTACAAGAGTTCTGTGTCTTGATGGCTATGAAATAAGAACATTTTTTTTTTTCTTCATTCATCTTTTCATTTTGTATGATTTTAGTTCTGAAACTCGGTAAATACAAAGTGAATTTTTAAATTTTATAAAAAATTTTTAATATATTTAGCAGCAGCTCATAGCAATGGATATTTAAAAAAAAGTACAGAAAATTATTTTCATTCCATGAGTACTTCTTGTTAGTCTGCATGAGAGTGTCAAATCATTTACACTAAAGATTCCTGTTATAAAGACAGCAATAGATCAAGCTATATGTTGAATTTTCCCCCAGAAATATAATCAGAGTTAACCTTATACAGATCTATTCAAATGAATTGTGATGTCATCTATTTACTTAAAGTGCAAACTTCTTTTAATTACAGAAAGACATTATTAGAACAATACTGAGTTATTAGTGACACTGATATTGATCTCTCTTACAAGATATTTATGAAAAATTAGAAATTCTGGGGTTTTGATCATTGATGAATGTAATCTAATCACAAAAACATTATGATATAATTCTAGAATTTGCATCACGTACAGGAAAAACACATTAAAAATAAGAAAGCTTTCAGGCATATTAAGTAGCTGTGGTGCTTTTCAAAATTTATACCCATAAAAAGTATTCTGTTGCAAAGTACTTAATATCATAGATATTGCAATATATGACATAACAACACAATTTGATTCTACAAAAGATACTTACTCAAAATTTAATAATTTATGGAAATTTATGAACAAATCTGACCAAATGATTAAAACTCAGGCAGATAAACTACTAGTGGATTCACAAGAAAATATTAACCAAGAATATGTACAACAAAATTTTATATTTAAAAGCTTTATACTAGGATAACATAGACAAAAATAATTTTCAATGCATTTATCAAACCAAATAAGGAATATGAAACTTAAATACTGTTTCTAAATTTAATTATTGTACTGCATATATTTTTCATTTTGCCTGAAGCAGTGGTTCAAGTTGAGTGATCACTTAATAGTATATTATGAAAGCTTTGAGTTCAACCATGACTGAAGAACATTTGATGAACTTAGCTGTATTGTGAATATTGAGGATGCAGTAGCCAGATGATACAATTTTCCTGAAATCATAAATATATCTGCAAGTCATACATCTCATACAGCTTACCTGGAATAATTATTAAGAAGCATATTTTGCTCTTGTTAAAGTGTATGAAAGGGAATTTTGAAGCAAACAGCCATAACTGGATATTCACTATAAAAACAAATACTTTCTAAAGCTTTCCTTCTAAACATTTCATTGTTTGCCATTTAAATGTAAAACATGTTTTTAATTAGCTCTCAGAATAAAAAAGATCTAATTATGGGGCTGCCGATTTTTAATTTTCCACCTGTTATATGTTAAAATAAATACTTCTTTAATTTTAAGCAAATATGCATTATGTTCTAATAAAGTAATTACTCAGCAAGTTTATTTATTTACTTTATTATTATTATTATTATTATTATTATTATTATTTTATATGCAGCACATAAGGGCTAGCACCACAATCACTACTAAGACCCATAGAAACTCTACGGCACTGCAGTTACATATTGTAAACAATTAAACCAAATAATATTTTTTTATTGTGTTTCTACTAATATATATGCATCACTTGTGATGGGACAGCTTCTGTCCTAAGGCTATTGCCAATCAGAATTAAGTGCCGCCCCGAACTATTTATCTAAAATGTAACGACACCATGACCAACGGGCAGACACGATAGTACCAGTACGATCCCTACCAAGCCTGGACCAACCTTAGCGAACTCAGGTTCCAGTCCTGTGAAGATTGTTTCTCTGCACGCATGGTTGAGACTGTCCAAGTACAGATTCTAGCCGGTACTTCCCAGCAAAAGTTAGACTACCCACAAAGCTTGGCTAATTCTCTGAATGTCATATAAGTAAATATTTCCAGACAGTTGAACATGTAAAATGTGCAACTTATGACAGAAAAGTCAAATGAATAGAAAAAGAAATTGCTTGAATAAAATTATAAAAAAAAAAAAATCTGAAAGCTTTCAGATTTTATATTATGCCCAATGGGCTTTTTTAATGTTTAGTGTGTTACTTTTATTTGTTAAATATCATATTCTTCACACCATAAAATTCAATATCACAAAATAATTAAAAAAAGAGCATATCTTTACCCTTCTAGGCAAATTCCCCCTTTGGGCTAAAAATTCACCTCATTTCCTATCAACATAAATACCAAAAGCCTACTATAAAATTTATAATGCAATATATATATATAGAGAGAGAGGGGGGGAAGAGACCATACTTGCCCCTTTGGGCTGAAAATTCCTCTCATTTCCTATCAACATGAATACCAAAAGCCTACTATAAAATTTATAATGCTATATATATATATATATACATTTATAGAGAGAGAGGGAGAGACCATATTATAAACAGGAAATGTTGTGCAATTTCAAAGTACGATGGAACATCAAAGAATTTTCAATTAATTTTAGGCAGATTTTATATAAAAATTTTCAATTTGCTTTTATATTCAAATCCTTTATAGTAAGCTGAAGTTGTAATATATTAAAGAAGAGTAATAATATTTTTTTTTAAATAAATAGAACATGTACTAACAACAGAACAAAATACAAGTAATCTGAAATTTAGAAACTTCATTCTTACAGTTTGTTACAAATTTATCAGTCTGATTAAAGAAATTATCGTAACTTCAAGTTGAAGTCTGTTACAAATACTGCTTACAAGATAGTGCATGTCAGTTAGAAGCTAAGTTTGAGGGAAAAAAAGTAGGTACGCCCTACAGCAGTGTTTCTCAACCTTTCAGTATTTGAGGCCCAATTTTCAGTCATAATTTTCATCGCCACATCACATATAATAAATTGTATACAATTATAATGTATTTTGAGTATTTTTGGTGCTAAACCTACACTACGACCTTAATTTTAAAACTTAAAAATTACCAAGAATATGGAAATTTATTCACATTTGGCAACACCTATCCTCAGCATTGACAAAACAAGAATCTGTTGCACTTTTATTGCTGTTCTATCCACCATGTCAGATATACTTGCGGTTTCGCGAGAAGTTGCAATTTGTCTAGAGCATTCTGGAGTATCTGCGTGAATGTCTGTATGTCTACATATCACTGCGTGGCTAAATGGCGCTGCATGTCACAAGGATTACCATTTTCGGAGCCAAGATGCCATCTCGAGCATGCGCAGATGTCAGATAATGTTTCTCTATACGGAGAAGGAGGAAATTTGATAGCGCCAGTTTTAATTCCTGCCAGTCTCATTTGAGTCTATCCTTCTATCGCGATCTATTCTACCATGAATGTTTATGTTATATGTTTTCGTGTTAATTGCAGTTCACCATATTAAATATTCATGGCGGCAGATTTATGCAGAATCATGGATAAATTTTTAAGCGGATGTAATATATAACAAATTGTATACAATTATAATGTATTTGACATCTGCGCATGCATTAGACGATTGGAATTGTGGAGCAGAAATGTAAAGAAAAAAAAAAAAAAAAAACCTAACAATGTTTACAAATGTGGATGATTGTATTAAAACTTACAAGGCTGAAGAACAACATGCAAAAGTGGTTTTTGCAACCATTGAAAACCATTTAGCCATGCTCACAAAGAATTTTAAAAATTATTTTCTTATTTTCTTGCTGACGACAAACTAATAGAAAGTTACGAGTAGGTTAGAGATCAATTTCAAAATATTCCTGAAGGGCTTTCAATTGCCAAGGATGAAACCTTCATAGACTTAACGACAAGTGGAGAAACCAAAAGACAATTTAGTAATAAATCACCCTTTGAATTTTTGGCAGGAGTGAATGATGAGTTCTTTGCATTAAAAACAAGGCCATTTCGCATTTTATTACCATTTTCAGCATCCTACCTTTGTGAAACTGGATTTTCTGCAGTGGCTTCATTGAAGACAAAATATAGATCTCAGCTAAATATGGAAAAAGAACTAAGAGTGTCTATTTCTAATATTCAACCTTCCTTCAAAAACTCTGCTCTGCATGACAGGCCCAAGGATGTCACTAAGAATTATTAAAATTGTTTTTAATTTAATAAGTTTTGATTTAGTATTTTTTTAAAATTTAATAAGTTAATTATTAAATATTATGACAAAATATATTTTGTTTTGTATGTGTGTGCTTTCCTTTCAGTCAGTTCATATTTTTTAAAAAATAATATTCTCTATTGGATATGCTCGCGCCTCTCCTTTAATGTGCTAACGGGGCATGCCCCACAGGTTGAGAATCGCTGGCCTACAGCTTGATGTCCTAGCCTCTTCAAAAGTGCAAATTTAGTTGTTTCAAAAATTCAAACTACATTCTTTAAAAAAAAAGTTTAACATCACTTTTTGTTCTAAACTAACATTATATAATAGTTTAGTTTTCTCAGGTTAGAGTAGATTTAAGGGTGCCTCTTGGATTATCGCTAAGTTCTTGTTTCATTTATCGCCAAGTTGTTGTTTCATTTGTGGTAACCTGAGTAGTTTAATAGTATAGAAACCCTATTATGATGGTGAATTTGAATGATGGGAAAAAATTAAGGGCTTATTTGTGTGTTAGATGTTGCTCAGGAAGTACACTGGTTATTAATTTAATGAGAGTTAGAGTAGATTTAAGAGTGTCTCTTGAATTATCCTTACCTAAGTTGTCTAATTTATCACCAAGTTTTTGTTTTATTTATGGTAACCTGAATAGTTGAACATTACGGAAACCCTATTATGACATGATTGGTTACGTGATGCAGTCAATTTGAATGATGAGAAAAGATTTGGAAAGTGTGTGTCAAATTTTGGATAAGAAGTACGTTGTTATTTTGTGGTTTACATGGTAAAATGGCTGAATGTTGTAAGATTAATTTGAAGTTCCTGTACGATTTGGAATGAAAGGGAAAAAAAGCATTAATTAACTGGTGTGTAAATGAAGGTTTACTTAGTAGCCCTTACTAAGCTTCCTGTTTGTAGGAAGGAAATGTGTACGGTCAAATGTCAGACGATACTCGCACTACAGAGGATATTTTGTGAATTTATGTGGCGATGCCAGTATATGGATTCTAGTTCAGATAATTTTAGGAAGTTTTTAAATTCTGTTAAGGAATTTTGTTTGACTGAAGACATGTAAATTCGTAAATAAGGTAAGTAGATATTTTCTTAGTGTAGTGCAAAGATGAATTTCCCTTTTTATGTTATTTTATTGTTCGATTGAAAATGTAGTTTACTGAGATTATATATTTTTTGTTGGCTGCTCCTTTGATTTTTTTTAAGTGAATATAGATCAACGTGTACATGGACAAAGTCAAGGGAATGTGCAATGCTTAGTTTGTGCAATTCTTTGATGTTTTTTTAAGAGAAAATAGGTCGATGTGTATATGGATACCGAGTTCCCGCAATTCTTTGACTTGTTATTTTGGATTTGTATAGCGGCAAATTTTGGCCCAAATATCGCGGCTACACAAAGCCAAAGTAACAAGTCAAAGAATTGCACAAACTCAGTGTCCATGTACCGCCAGAAATCACCAATTATCGCTAAGGAGCACCCGTAAATATATTTTACCCTTTCTCAATATTAACTATGTAGCTAATATCTTAAGCTCTCTCTTATAGAAATCTTACATGTCTCTATTTCAATGATGCAAACTGATAAGGTGAATCATGTTTTCTTGGAAAAGTTTCTGATGTTCACAATTATATTAGAATAACCAATAAAATCAATGCAAAGGTATTACAATTAGGTTGTGAAATCACACACATCTCTTACTGGAGCATTTGCTGACAATATTCTACATATGCTTTATGATGCTTTACAAGTCTCTTATTTGCTTACATTTCCACACATTCAGGACGGAGGCATTTTTAAAATTATAAAATATTCCAGTTACTTGAGCTTCCCAGTTAGTTGAATGTCAGATACTCAGGCTTTTATTGTACACTACAGTAAAAAAAGGCCCAGGCCATTTAAGGAATTTTTTTTTTTTTTTTTTTTTTTTTTTTTTTTTTTTAACTTCATGGACTTCTACAAAATTAGCTGGCTTTTGTTTATATAATTTTATTGCAAAAATTTTGTAAAACTGTAATGTATAGTTATCATTTTGCTTAAAGAACATGACTTTTGCTTATGTGTGCATCATTTTGTTTAAAGAATGCAGCACACAGAGCAGAACCTACTTATATTCTATCATGTAAGGGCAACAAAAATTACAGAAAGTAATATCTGTTTTATAACTTAGTATTTTTCAAGATGCTTTAACAATAAAAAATAACTAATTTATATAAAATATGTCACTTTTGCTTTCATTTAGACATCCCTATTCTTCTTTCACATAATTTAATCTTAAACACCATTTCAGTAAGTATTACACATTCCCTTCTTTTATATATATATGTCCCCAAATTATTTTGCGTGTGCTTGCATCTTTATATTAAGTGTTAATTCATTTATGAGCAACATGCTTCTACTTTCATACATGCAGCATGCTTCGCAACCTAACAATTAAATTATCACAACAGAAACACTCTAATTAAATGCCCATGCAGTCAAATTTTTAAATTTATACCATGTAATAAAATTATTATTCATAATATATTTCAATACCTCTTAACAAATGAACTGCATTGGTTACTGGGGTATGCATGTTAAACAAATTCAGATTAATCAAAAGAACTATTCTTCATATGATACTACTGATATTAGTCAATTAATACTCGCAATATTAGGAAAAATTATTGCTTGATAAAAAAAAATTAAAATTAAAAATTAATCAAAAGCTAACAATGCCAATCAATGCTGTTGATCAATTGTTGACCTATACATCTTACTTATCTATAACTTACATTGTACTTTTCATCTAACCTTACAGTCAATTCATTAAATCACTTGTGTAGGGAATGCAGAAAATTTAGAAAAAATATTCACATAAATTAAACCACAGGACATTATAACTGAAGGACAAGGTGACCATTGAGATCATTGACCCATGGGTTTTCAGTCACCAGTTTATTGAATATGACCTATGGGTTTTTAATCACCAGTGTAGTGTTAGTATAGCTGCAATATTGATCAAAGTAGCGCATAATAAGTACTTGGTAGTATAAGATAAATGTAGCGTGATATTCTGAATGTTTTCAAAAGACTTCACTACAAATATTTCTAATCTTCTAATGTCAATATGTAAGAAAAGTAGATAATCAACAATACAAAATCCAGATACATCATGTAAGGAACCTTTATTATAAAAACTGTTTTAAATAAATATACTCACTTTATGTCTTTGAGCTGATTTATCAACAAGAATAAAAGCAGGCTTTTCGCTGTCTGGAACACATTTTATAATCCAATACATTAACTGACCTAAAAGAAAATGCAATATTTGAAATATTAGGAAGTCAAATGAACAAGAATGCAAAAATATTTTATATTTATATTTAAATTTTTTATAAAAAGCAAATAAACAACTTTTATGAAATTTTCAAAAAATCTTCAGCAATTTAGAATACAATAGTATCTTTAACATAACATGATTTCATGATTTTCTGTCATATATGAAAGCAAACCCTTTTCAAATGAATGATAATTTAAATGTTTAAAATTAGCAGTATTTTTCACTTTTTGAAAAGAGATGCTATGAATTTTGTACTACGAGTCACCATCTTTTAATATCAATAGCTAAATAATTTAGCTACTGATAATCAAGCCTACAATTATAAATACAAATATATAAAAATAATCTATGATTTAACAATCAATACACTTGTCTGATTTATCCATGCTAACAAATACCCTTGGAGTATTTTTAACATCTATTGAAATTACACTCTTTATTTAGCTACAATCTTTACAGTATTACAGTATTTTCAGAGATGATTCTTTCCATACAGATTATTTGTAAAATGAAAAATATATGCCAGATCATATTTTACGGGGGGGGGGGGGGATTCATAAAATGGAAAGCAAAGCTAATATGGGAATTCCTCTCCTCATATGATAATTAACACATTTATTTTCTTGCATACTGGACATAAATATTTTGAACAAGCTATGTAAATATAGCCAAGATTAATGAAAAAAAATCTAAACTAAAATTCTATAAACTGCAAATACAGAATAACAAAAAAAAAAAAAAAAAAAGCATAATTTAAACAAATAATAGACAACTACCACTGAATTAAAATTTTAATTTTTCTGAAAGAGCAGGCAACTGTTCCTACATCAGTTATTAAAAAAGGAAAACAAAAATCATTCTGTTGACAATTGCAGATACATATATAACATTAAAAAGAATTACAAATTGCTTATATTTTTAACACATCATGAAGCAAGTAAACGATCTACATTTTAAATACACGTAGCATTATGAAACATACCTTTTCCAGCTCCAAATTCAAGGAAGCATGTTCCATCAGCTAATAAATTAAAATTTTCCAAAACTGCTAATAAAGAGGCTTGCTGTTTCATATGTTTAAAAGAACACAAACCATCATCCACATTTTGCATTTCAGCCTGCAAAATGGGGTGCAATGTAAAACTGTCATGAATATGCAAATCAGTCTCTAGAAGAGGGGGGGGAAAAACAATATGTACTTAAATTACAAACTAAAAAAAAAACTTTTCAGTTTCTTTTATTTAAAAAAATGTACACTGCATTATATACTCTCAGAACGAGAATGTAATAACTGCTAGAAAATACACTAATATAAAAACACTTGAAAAGATATGCTAAAGAAACAAATTTAATTAATACATCCATTTCAGGACAGCATTTTGTGAATCGTTCACTGCGCAGAACGGTATACCTCATAAGATTTTTATTCCATCTTAAACATGGTCCAAAATCATGAAACTCCATAAACAATTTTCAAAAATATTAAAAATTTAAAAAATATTAAAATTCACAAATGTTAAAAATTCTAGACTTTCCTAATTTATTAATTAAAAAAATACTCACATAAACTACATGCAAACAAAATTTCACACTTCTTCAGTTTAGCATGCTATATTTTGAATCTTTCATTAAAAGTAGAAAAGAAAGTGTCTCTGTCTCTCTTGCACATTTGCTTTTGGTTTCAAAAAGCTGGCTAAGTAGTTAGCTTTCTCTCTTTTTAAATATGGCCTTGAAATACTGCTTGGCTGTGAGCTAGATGTCTTCATAAAAACTTTTAAAGTTCATGTTAAAATTTTCCCTGTTGTTTCTTTGCTAGGGCTGTGTTCAGAAATGTTCCATCTTATTTAATCGAAAACCTCTTATGACACCGTACGTACAGCCCATAACATACATGACCTGAGCTTAACCAATGCAAAGGTTCACCCCCTCCCAATTGCAACAAGTCTTCTCAGCCTTTAGATCAAGGCATTACTGCAGTTAAATATAGAAAGCGACTTGTGAGAACTCAATTCACGTAGCTGAAAATGAAATGAAAATGCCAATATGAAGTTTGCTTGATGCAATAAAAGCTGAAAATCCATATCCTCACAACACATACAGAATTGTTTTAGCACAACCTGGAGACATAAAGAAGCTGATGAGTTACATAGTGATGACGATATCATTTGACATGACGAATGGAATAATTTACAAGATGTTGTGAACCTTTGTGTTAGTTTTGAGAAGTTTGAGGTCAAACTGAGTTTTTTACACTTTTGGCTTTCACACATTATTTACCACTGCACACCACTTACTCACCCCTTGCCAATTTCTACAGTAATGTAGGAATATAAAAATAAAATAATAAGTATATATATGGTACAATAATTTAATAAGCAGGATGACATATTAAGATAACAGTAAATATGTAATGGAATGGCACATAGAATACTTATTAATTACATGTAAATCGGATTAAAAAGCATTTCATTAAACAAAATAAGCATTATATAATAATTGAAAAAAATTATATTGAAAAAATAAGCATAAACATATCCAAACATTCATTTTGCGTAAACATTTTCTGGTGACCAAAGTTTAGAAATTGCTTCTAATAATGCACTGAACACATTATCACAACCAAAGTGATGGCAAAACATGAATTCAGCTAGGTACGATTCAAAGTGATTGCATCTCTATGCTTTTTATTCTGCCATTTGGCAGACTCCCATATTCGCTCCACAGTTTTGGTATGAACTCCAGTAGTTGGATTAACAAGCTTATATCAGTAATTAATCATAAAATGGCTGAAACTCGATTCCTCCAGTTCCTTGGTTCAATAGCTTTTCCAGCAGTTTCTGCATATTGCCAAACCCTTCCCGGCATGTTTGTGGATTTCTCCCATCAGGATTCTCATACTTCTATTGTGTACTCAAACTAAGAAGCACTCATTGTTTTCAAGACAAATGTCAACTAAAATTCCACTGTTGCAGAAAAACTCTAATAGCATGGCTCTTCCATTTTATGAGGGATTAGTCAATTTTGATGAGTTTATCAGGTCCTATTTTTCTAATTGAATGTTTTGTCATGAAATCAGAGCACACTTCCTTCATGTAACCCAGTCAACAACTGTCATATGTTCCATGCTTAATTATTTGAAATTAAGCATGGAATTTGACAGAGAAAAATTATATCTTTGATCCACTAAACTAAAGGCTCACGTAAGACTCTTTTTCTTTTTATAAGTTCTGACATTGCATCTCTATGAAATGGAGATGCAATGTCAGAAATGCACTTTATGACCATTTATTGGTACAAATGCACTTTATGACCATTTATTGATACAAATGCACCTTATGACCATTTTCACAAATTCTTTTGCAGGGCAAAATTCATTTCTCATTTCTCTCGGAAAAAAACTATTGCACCTTTTTCTTTCAATGGCAAACTGAAAAAAGTAAACATTTTTATGAAGAAAAATTAAGATGAAGTGTAAACCAATGTGCATATGAATGGTTGAATAAGGTGGGAAAAAAAAAAAAAAAAAAAAAAACGATCCCCCAATTCTCACCAAGACTGTCAAATCACATCACAATCATCATTAATTCATGCCAAGGCTATAGGACCAATATAAAAGAAAACTTACCTATCTAGCTATTACAAAAAAATTTGTTTTTGCTATATTATTATATTATATATTTCACTTATCTAGTATAAAATTTAAAATAATCTTTCATTATTTTATATTACCATAAATAAAAGATTTATGCAATTGTTGTTTATTTGATTACAAAAAGCATAAAGAAAATTATTCTTTAATGGATCTTGAGTTTGCATCATTACTTACCTCTCTGAAATACATAATAGCATAATTGATGAAATAACTGTAGGAATAGTTTATATTTTTATATCAAGCAGTTTAAATATTTTTATTGAATTATTCAGAACTTTTACACATAAATTTAATAAACTTTTTAAACATCAAATATTTAGATGAAGGCCTTTTATTTTATTTGGCTGCAGTAACAGAAAACTCATTACAGACATATGAAAAGATTGGTGTTTAAGTGTTCTCTAGAAGCAGAAGCTAAGTGCAGACCAAAGTGTAACATTGGTTGTAATCTTAACAGAGATTACTTTATTTGCAGCAAAGTGACCATAGCAGTAGTCTGGCTTCATAAAAGTGGTGACACTTGCCCTGAGAATGTAGTTTCACAGTCTCTTTTTGTGATTATCATTATAACTTCAGAAAATAAATGGAAACTTAAATGGTAAGATGTTTAATTTTCTAGATCTAGAAGCCATTATAATAACATTTACACTGAACTAGTAATAAATAAAATGCAAAATATTTAAAGAAAGTGCCTGTTTCCAAACTAGAAATTGCTATGGATCCAATTTCTGCAAAATCTTCAGGGTGATGTCCTTAAGATACCATTAATGACCTCTCCCCTCCTTCAACTGACAGTATCTGAAGGAGATTAGAGGACCTTTTAAATTTTTAGAATAGCAAAGACACCTAAAATAAGATAAAAAAAAAAAAAAAAAGGTTTGAGCTAAGGTCATGTATGATAAATTGAAGACCCCTCTTGTTAGCCTGTTGAGTTATTGAGACTTTTATCTATTGTTGCAAGTTACAGAATCACAGTAACATAAACAGCTTGGCTAACTTAAACCAACTTCTATGGATTAAATATGGCTGGTTATATAGTGATAACCAGCACTTCTGGAAACTTCGGAAACACTCTTAAGACTTTGAAAACACAAGATGGCCATAAAAATCTTTCCTGATATATGAATCCATAGTGGCCTATCTGCTCAACCAACAGAAATGAAATTTCAGATATTGTTATTTGAAAGTATGCGCTCGAGATTTTGATGATTTAAAACAAAACAGAGCTCTCAGAGTTACAGTAAAAAAAAATTGAAATTTTTGAATGGCAATAACCATTTTTCTCCAGTGCAAATTGATCAGTGCACTGGAAACCATAAACGGCATTGGAACGATACAGGTATGACAAAAATTGCAGTTGTAAAACTTTTGCAAAGAAGAGCATTGTAAAGGACCAATCATAACAGAACAGAGGAAAGGGAAAAAACTCTTGCAATTACAAGTTTTCAGCTTGCTCATCTTTGTAGATGATAACACATACCATATGTAAAATTGCTGACAAAAATTATGAACGTTTATTACAAGAGCAATCTGTATAACTTCATGTTTTATGGCATTTTTCAATTCTGACAAATCTTGTAGATTTATGGTGTACACATTAGATTTTATATAACTCCAAGAGCCAGAAAACAGTCGAAGTGAGTTTGGGGGATTGTGATGGACACAAAACTGCAAAGTTTTGGGAGATGACTCTATCTTGTAACGTTGTACACGCTGAAAACTTGCAATTCCAATAAAAGTCCTTTTGCCTCTAATGTCTTGTTTTGCCAAATGCTCTTTTACAATGCTCTTCTTTGAAAATGTTTTGCACCAGCAATTTTCATCATATGGGCATTGGGTGTTAGCATTCAAAAATTTCAAATTTTTTTTTTCCTGTAACCATAACTGTGAGAGCTTTCTATCGTTTTTAATCACCACAATTTCAAGGACATCTTCAAATAACAAAATCTGATATTTCATTTTGATTAGTTGAGCGGATAGGCCACTAGAGGTTCATTTATCAGGGAAAGGTTTTTTTTTTATTACCATCCTCTATATTTTCAAAAATTTTAAAAAAACTGCAAAGTCAGCAAGAAATTGCCAAATGTTGTCTACTTTGCAACAACTGTTGATCTCCAAGGCCTTCAAAAGAGTTTCTGTCCATTCTCAGCTTCTGTTTGAGCTTGAAGGGGTATGTTGTTATTCATATCCTATTTTAATGAAGATACATTAAGTATAAAAATATAATTTATTCCACACACAGAAACGTAATTTGTACTGGGAGCACCAAAGCAGCCTTTTCCTCCAGCAGAACCACAAGAAAGGCTCTGATGGGAGAGAGAGGTTTGTGACATAAAAATATACACATGATGCACACACCTTCATGATTGGCTGATGCGGTGCATCTCTTGCCTGCATGAATGAAATACTACATACTATACAAAGTCTTTAATCCGGACGTCCATAATCCGTACCTCAAAGCTACAAACTTTCAGAACATATGCGTTTACGCATGTGCATAATACGTTTACGCATGCGTGTTTAATGTATAACAGACGGTATAAGCAAGGCTAAAATGATCTAATTATCTACTTCAGTTAATGTTGCAGATTGTGTTCCTTAATCTTCTAATTGGATCCGGCTTATTATTTTTTGCAGACTGTTAGAGCAATTTTATAAAACATAAGCTTGAACTTTCGATTATGTCAAAAGAGTTTCCGATTCTGCCAAAGGATCTACAAAGCGAAAGCATGTTTTGATGTACCGCTTCCGATAGTGAAAATTCCTAAAGTTTAGAAAATAGCAGGATTAAATGTTCTAAATACTCATATTCATTATTAAAAGCCACAAGTAACAAATGCGTACACAAATGGCAAGACCCTAGTGACCTCGTCAATAAACAGTTGAAAAGCTGAGGAAGCATTACACAAACCAAACTGTCTTCTCAAACTTTCAAGCAGACCAAAGGGGAATACATTACCTGTTTTATATACATCATCTGGACATTTGGGAATTTGGCGATATGCTTTGACGAGATCAATGTGACTAAACATTTGTTTACCATGCAGTTCTGAGGTAAAATCAGCTATGCACGGAATAGGATACTTTTTTTGACACTCTGTGCATTAAGAGAGCAATAGTTACTAACAGCTCTCCATTCAACAGACTCTTTCTTGGGCACCATGTGCAAAGGCTTTTTGAAGGTCTCATATGACCTAGTTGAATCATATGCTGAAATTCAGTTTTAGAGATTCTGAGGTGGTCAAGAGCTAGCTATCTACGTTTAACAGCAACTGGAAGACCTTTAGTATTTATACAATAAAAGGTATAAGGCTGTACTGTGAGGAAATCAAAGTGTGTACATTTGGCATTTTGAATTTGAATGAAAATGTGTACATTTGGCATTTTCCAGAGATGGGTCATTGTTGGAAATGATAGCTGAAATTTTCACTTGTTTATAGCCAAAATTTGATCAATTACTTTCATAGGTTTATCCAAAGTAATTGGAGAGAGGGATGCTAAGCTAGTCTGGAGAAGAACAGGCATTGCATGATTAAATAATTCAAATAAGAGAGAGTCATCAATACTGTGATTCTGTGCTAAACACTTCATAATGCAGAGGAGTTTGTTGGCCTTCCAATCACTGAGGCTTTCACCCAATAGTTTTGTTTCAGAACATTTTCCAATAACTTTTATTTCAGATCCTGATATGGGTTGACTTGATCAGGTTGAATGATGATATCAGGAAGAACAATGGTAATATTAGGTGGTAAGTGAGCCATGACATAGTTGAATTTAGTCTTTTGTTCTGATACTGGTTTAAGAATTGTTAACTGGAACATCGATTCCAACGACACGGATCAACTTGAATAAAAAGTGGAATCACTACAGCGGAAGTTTCAGAATCAGCCACTGCCCAGGTAGAAGTTGCTAGGGGAAGAATAAAAACTGAAAGTGTCCATTACTATAAAACAGTTTTAAGTCTGGTCACCATTGAAGAGGTGCATTATTGATCTGACTCTTGTTGACAAAAGAACTGGAACAATGAGAAATTTAAATTTGTGTTTATTTACTGAGATTTTAATGTACATATATTATTAAAAGCCACTGAAACAATTACCTTAAATGAGACTCACCATTATATAAAGTCTTGACTTTTTCAACTAAACACAAGAGCTCTTCATCAGGCACATCAATTAAATACAGCTGAAATTAAATATATTTTAAGTATCACTTAATCCTTAAACTGCTTACTTGATTTTTATTACATCAAGAAATAATTAATTTCAATAGAATATATATTTAATAAAATTAGTTTTCTATACCAAACTAATAAATATTGTGTCACTGCAATAGATTTCAGAATAATTATAAAAACAGTGTTTACATTTGTTTGTTAAAACATTGTTTACATTTGTTTTGTTTTTCATTTTAGAAAATTTTAGTATATCATTTAAAAAAATTCTGAATAAAATAAGCATCATAACAATAAAATAATCATATCACAAATCAATATGCAAAATAATTTCAAAAGTGATTAAATTACATATTTATATTAATCAACTGTTAATGATTTGATAATTACTATTGTACCTTGGTATATGTCCTTAATCCAGTTCAGATCCTTGGACTTATACCAAACAAACGTTTCTAATAAGACAAAGGAAAAGTAATTAATTCATTCTTAAAAAGATCTTGCTGTTGTTACTATAACACTGTTTAATAATAAGGTACAAATGCAAGATAAAATATATAATGTACATGAATGAAACATATGGGTAACTAAAAAGCATATACTATATATATGCTTTTTAGTTATCTATATTAAAAGCAGTTTCCCAACATGCTCTAATGTCTCTGATGTTTGTTTGATAACCGATTTTGCCCCCTCTGCAATGTTAGCTTATTTAATAGCGTCTTTGTTACTCACAGTCATAGATACAGTTGTTTCTTGCATACAGTATGCAATAGCCAAATCATGGATATGCATGTCATTTTCACATTTTTCAACAATCTCTTTTTTAAGATCTATGGGGATGTGATCCTAACTATTTTTTATTTATTTATTTATTTATTTATTTTGCTGTTGTTGGACTCTTGGGCAATCGTGCAGCCATAACTCATCGAACTTGAGTTCTATCTCAAACAAAAAATTTCTCATTCAAACACAGGATATACATCAAGCTCGATGTACACCGAGGTACTACAGAATAATGAACGAAATAACTTGAACATGAGAATCTGTTTCTAATTTGAATGATCTAGAAAAATTATTTTTAACAGGCGAAAATATTAATTTCATAACAATAGTAAGCAGGCAACTTTAGCTGCTTCATCTCTCTCATTCTATAAATTTTTGATTTCCTCTTTCAGATATCCAGAACTGCATAACTCTGAACTATTCAGCATAACATTTTTAAATCTCTACAGTATTCTTAATTGATTGCTTTAAAAAATTTACACAAATATTTTAACATCTCAGTGGTATCATAGAAATTCTAACAAACTCTTCTAATTAATAAATGTAACAAATTACTGGAATTATTTTTAAATATTCTAAAACTGAACAGGAGATGTGTTAAAAAAGAAACCAAATTTTTGACATAGCATACCAACTGGCACAGTGGATACCGAACACACATAGCACAGATTTAAACAATAAACTGCCATTTGCTGTATTTCACTCTGACCATTAAGTTGGTAAGACAGCCACTGAAGTGAGCACATGCACAAGCTGTTCATTGGATTAGTGCCAAAGTGGCAATGAAAGAGCTTGAAGAAAAATGTATGTGTGTGAAACTTTGCTACAAACTTGGCAAAACTTTCACATAGATATTTCAGTTAATTAACCAAGCATATGGGTAGGAATGTATGAATTGCACACAGTGCTATAAGTGGTTTAAATGTTTTGAACATGGAAGAATCTCGGCTGGTGGTCATCCCAAGCCTGAATCAATGTCGAGAGAGTTCATGCTGTGATTCATGGAAATCATCATTTAACTGTTCAAGAAATTGCTGGTGAAATGGACATCATTGTAGAATCATGTCGTGCCATTAAATTTTGAGAGAAAAACTTGAAACGCACCACACCAGTGTAAAACTCATGCTGTGTTTGCTGACTGATGATCAGAAACAGACCTGTTTTGAAATCAGCCAGAAACTGCTTGCCACTGCAAACGACAATGAAAACGTTTTAAAGGACATAATGTGATGGGACATGGGTTTAAGGCTATGATATTGAAACGAAGGTGTAGTTATCACAGTGAGTGAGAAAAGGGTCTCCATGCCCAAAAAAAGCATGCCGAGTCAGTCAGAAATAAAGGTGATGTTCGTTGTATTTTTTCACTAGAAAGGCACTGTCCACGAAGATTTTGAACCACATCTAGTCAGATAGTAAGCAAAGAAGTGTACTAGGGAATTTTAGTCTATCTGAAGGATGCTGTGCACAGAAAGAGGCCTGAATTGTGGAAAAATCAGACTTGGATGTTACATCATGACAATGCAGCAGCTTTGTCCCCAGCTATCTAGAAAAACACTCCATTTGCACTCCATCCACCACATTTTCCAGACCTAGGCCCAGCAGATTTTCTTCTGTTTCCCAAACTGAAAACTACATTGAATGGACTTCTGTAGTTTGCAAACTACAGAAGAGATTCAGGGCAATGCCATAAGAAATGCCTGCCATCCTAGAAGGCTTTCCAAAAATGGAAGAAATGATGGGAATAATGTATTGCCAGTAGATGGGACTACTCTGATGGGAAAATGCTTAAAATGCAGTAGAATAAGCAATACATATATTACAGTAAAAGTTTGGTTTCTTTCTGAACTCATCTTGTACTTTATATTCTCAGATTTCTAAACTAATTAAGTATCAAAGCAAATGGTATAACACAATGTTGAAAACTTAATAACATATTCTTAATTCAGTATACAGGTGAAGTGAAAAAAAAGTGATTACCTTATTATTTTCAGATATGTTGAAATCAGGTGCATTGATATTTTGTACAAAATAAGCCTATGAAAAGAGATACAATAAAATTCTTAAAAATTAATAATTAATGATAAATATTAATCAGAAAGTATATAGCATTTCACAAAATTGTAATTTAACTGAAAATTTTGATTTAAGTGGAAAATGATCAATCAGAAATATATATATATATATGAACCATGAAATACTTCAAGATTAAAATATGCAAAGTTTTAAATTTAAAATGTTGAACACAGTACAGAAGATATGCTAAAGGAAATGCAAGATGATAAAATGTTAAATCTGCAGCATAGAATTTTCTGTCTTACAGATTAACCATCAAACCCCATTATTAATTAACCCTCAAACAGAATCAAACCCCGCTATAATAAACCTCCAAAAGTATGAAAATCAGATAAAACTATTTGGATATCTTCAATTTAATTTTTTTTTTTTATTTTTCATATTTTTGACTGAAATATCATCTAACTCTAGAAGAACTAGGATATAATAAACATATCTTTAAGGCCCCATATGGCTTATATGACATTGATGAAAAAATGTGAATGGGTTCTGGTTCCATTTAAAGACTTCCAGCTTCCACATACAGCTCTATTCAAAGCTGATGCTATGATGGAAATTTTGAAATTTCACCATTCAGGTAAGAGGAAATAAATAATCTTATGTCCTTGAAGTTTTTCAGTTGATTCTTCTTTTAGGGAATGAAAATTTTTAATCCTTACGAGTTGTTTTATTACAAACTTCCTCAAAGTTCTATCTTTCAAATAGGGGTTCCACATTCTTTAATTCTTTTGCAAGACATAAGATATTCTTTATAGAGACTATTATATTTGTGTATTGCAATCAAATATATCTTAGGAGAACTGAATATTTTTTTAATGGACACTAGACAAGGCATGTGTGTATAGAAATTATCTTCTTTTTTCCTATTTCCCAGAAGAGAAAAACTCTCACATATTCCTTGACCAAATGCTTTGCATTCTGCTTCTATGTTAACAATTCATCCAAACTATAAATGCAAAGCTTCTGCAATGAAGATAAGGTGAACATTATTGGAAAAATATAAAAGGAATACAGTCAAACTGATATCTGCCAGAAATACAATTTATCCAAGTCTATAGCTGATATCATATAAAATACTTTATAATTTCTGCTCATGGAAAAGATCTGAATATGAGGAAAAAGTTGAGAAAGGTAGAGCACAGAGATGTTGAAGAAGCATTTCTGAAATAGTTCACTATTCAAAGAAGATCTAGCAAAATGCTTCAGATAAAAACAAATGAATTTTTTGGACATTTTGCATAGTCTGAAGAAGAATAAACAAAAAATTTAATAACTACATGTAATCATAATTGTAATTAAATCTTAATATTTTAATAACTTTATTATTCACATCTTTTAGTACAAGTGACAATGTTAATCAGTTTTTTTATTTAACATTTTATTTTTACATATTTTTGTGAGACAGTCCATTATTCTTATCAGACCGGATATAGCAAGCAACTTCAGGTCTCTTGAAGCTCATTATAATGGATTTGTTGTGACTTTTTTTTGCTAAATGTCAGGCTCAGGAAAAAATAATAATAAAAATAAAATTTAAAAAAAAAAAAAGTAAATCCTCATTCATCAAATACATAAAGATGACATTTAAATGCATTTCTTCAAGATACTCTTAAGAAAAACAGATTAGGGCTTGTTTCTATGACAGCAAACAGCTGTGTTTTATGGTAGGCACACAATGCTAAAGTCACTGCATAAGGTGGAAATTAGAAGGAATGCCTTTGATCCAAGTGTTCCAGCAGAAATTTTAATTTCCTTTCATCCCTTTCAGCAACTGGTCATAAGTTGAATGTCGTACTGGTAGAAATTTTTTAATGTTTTACAGATCTGTTTAGCATGAAAGAAAAGTAAATTTTAATCTATTTTGATTAACTATCCAGCTTCTGGAATGATTGATTTAAGTGCAGCAGCATCTCTCCTCCCAGTCAATATCATTTGATAATCAAATACGATTTTTTAATTTCATATACTGAAGGCCTGTGAAAAAAGTTATAAAAAATTTTTATGCACAATAAATAAATAAATAAATATACAAAACTCACATAATTTTAAATGCAGGCTTTCAATATTCAAGTAGATATAGCAAATAAGATGACTGCTTTTATAATTTAAGAAAAGAAATTTCTTTCTTCATTTATGTAGCTTTTCTACCATGAATTACATTTTATACATGGTAAAATATCCGAAAATTTCAGGTATATGAATTCAGCATTTCCTGAGCATTCTATATAATCCATCTTTAACTGTATCTATACATGCCTACATATGTTTTGTTAGTATGTTATTTACATTACTTTTGCTGAGGACCAGGTATTAATTTTCAACTCTGATGACATTTATCACCAAACAACATAGTAAATATAAAGCCAACAGGAAAACAAAATTTTTTTTCACACTCCACTCTCTCATAATAACAATTTGCACAAGAACTTTAAATTTGACATTTTTCAGTTCAAGCATCCTTATGTTAGTAAAGCACATGTGCATTCTTCTTGCAAGCTAAAAATCAAACGTAAAAGTACACCCCCTTTTTTTTCTTCTTCCCCAGGGAAAAAAATTCAAAATATGGAATTTCAATTTATCATGAAAAGAAAATGAAATTTTGCCTTCTTCCTAAGAAAAGGTATTTATTTTAAATTCCACTCAAATTTGTGAAAAAGGGCATGAAATGAAGCTACATATCATCATACCATATGGAAATGCAATGTGAAACACTGCCATGGGGGGAAAAAAGACTTTTGCACTGGTAATAATCAACAATCATATAGCATTATCAGATTCATATGGTACCAAACGATTTGTATTATCAACATTTTGAGTCATATCTGGCTGAGTTAACTGTTATTGCCAATTTATGCAACATGAATAAATTACACTTTTTTGAAGTAATTATTTTTTTTTTTTGAAATATTTGGGACTATTTCTATTAAAATTCTAGGTACTGTTCTGTTATTGGGACCAGATTCAGAAATGTATGTATCTATGCACACGCAAGTGTACATACATACATACACACACGCTCATACGTACCGTATATTCTGATGCATAATGTGCACTTTTATTACAAAAAATAAGATCAAAATTTATGGATGCACTTTACATAGCAAATATAAAAATTATATATTAAAAACAAGAAAAGAATCAACATATAAAAATTAGACTTTTACCTATACCTAAATGCTGTTTAAAAGAAATGACACAGCCTACAAAGCTAAACATTTTTATTATCGGATAACCTGAAAAGATTGTCACATTCATCTTCCGTTATATTTTCAGGCACATCATCGAATTCTGTTTCATCTTCAGCATCATTGTTACTCTGATTCATAAATAAATAATCACCAATGCCAAACATCCGCTGCAGCCCGATTTGCAAACTGATTGACTTTGCATCTGAAACTAGCAGTATGCCATTTCGTTTGGCAGGAGCCATATTTAACACTAAAAGGAACATTAGGTCAACTGTATTTCAATTAAAGCAAACATGACTTACTAGAGAGGGAGGAAACGTAACATTCACAGAGTTTAACCTAGAAATGAGTTCTTTTCGTCCTTCCTTGAGAGCAATAGAACAACAAATGTTGGACATTTTGCACTCCCCTGAAACTGCAGGAACACAAATCTGTACTAGATAATTTAAATCTCTTCAGATATGAATTGAATTTACCATGTCCAGTTAGAAATTGAGTAACTTCAAAATTGCAGAAAAAGTGTTTATTATTCAATCTGTGAGGAATGGAAGGAAAATATAGTTTAGTAAAAGAGGCAGTAGTAGAATTCCTATATAGTTCATTCCACTTGAGTATTGTATCCCTCCCTATTTTTGTTCTTGAAAAATGACTTGGGAAGTATCATTGGAGTATTTACTTGAAGAGGTGTAGCTTGTTTTGCCCACCAATCAGTCCTTTCATTTCCTAGATTGCCAGTGCGGCCATGTACATGAGAAAAGATAACATCAACACCTTTATTATTAAGGTCTTTAAGAAGGGCATGAGAAGTGACAATTAATTTATTTCATGAGAAGATATTTAAGAGAATATAAAGATGAAAGAGAATAGTGCGAATAAGAAATTTAGCACTTAGCGAACAGTTGTTATATAGCCATTTAATTTACTCACTAATGCACAGTAATTCAGCTTAGAAAATACTTCATTCATTGCGAATTCTAAAGAGTTTGTATTCCAGTTCAGAACCATGATGGAAAACAACATAAGCTAATCCAACTCGATTATTGATTTTACTGTCATCTGTATAACACACAACAGGGAAATCATCATCAACAGAAATGTCATAAATGATAGTTTGAATTGGCAAACGATTGGCAGGATGAGGAAGATCTTCAAACAACATCTTGGTATTGAACATAAATTTTTTGATGGTATCTTTAAACTTTCTGTCATTTAAAACATGAAGGTCAATCGGAGGAAATCCTGAAATTGTGAAACAGGCTTCATATCTAATTGTTCTGTAGCCATGCACAACTCTTAGTAAAATCTTTCTTTGAATTCTGTGAAGTATACGGGAATTAATCTTCTTTTCTAAATCTGTTTCCCACATTCTAGAAGCATAGCAAATAAAGGGGACAATATCCTGCTTATAAATCATATCAATAACATTAGATTTTAAACCAAAAGTATTGCAAGAGACACGATTAAGTCCTCTAAGTATATTTTCAGACTTATTAGATAAATACATAATATGATTTTTCCAACAAAACTTATGATCAAGAATAACACCTAAATATTTAATTTCATTCACCGTTTCAAGTAAGGTATTATCCAAGTACAATTGTTGGTTTGTATAGCTGACAAGCTTTCTTTTAATTATCATAATTTTAGATTTATTAGGATTGAATTCCAATTCCTGTTCTTTGGACAAATTGGAAATAATATTAAGGGTGTTCTGAGCCGTATTAAAGAGAGTAAAGGGACATGTCTCTTGAAAGCAAATTAGTAGAGCATCAG